TTAACAAGGAAAACTAAACAAAATACGAAAGAAGTAATTAAGTGATCTTATTTTCTGTCTTCAGTGCTCTCGCTGGCAAGAGATTCCAATCAAGTCAACCTTGACTGATAACGCTCATCAAGGAGCATGTAACGCAACTCACATTAAACACAACCCGAAGAAAATTTAAATTCAAAAGAAGCATGGACTATGGACTTAGTCCTGGGCTTGGTTCTTTCAGGTTGTTACGACTTCAGACAAGCTTTTAACCATTTTTATCTTAATTTTTCTTATCACTATAATGAGGTGACTGTAATAGATACTAGGAGTATAATATGTAGTTCAACTAGCCCTGGAGTGTAGCCTGAAGACATTAAAATTTTATCACTATTGAACACAAATAAGTATTTATAAAATACAAAGTATAAAGATGTCAAAAAATGAACCTTTATATCCAAGACCAAACTTGAGAAACAGAACAACACTGGTATGTTGAAATCCCTATGTACCCTCATCTTCCCCATCTCACCACTCCGTCCACTCAGGTGTCCCCCACCTTGTGTTTACCATTCTTATGTTTTTCTTAATTGTTTACCACATATTTATACTCCTAAATAATTATACAGTTGTACTTGCTTGTGAATTATATAAATGGAACCATCCTATAGGAATTTTTCTGACTTCTATTAGCAACATTCATCCACTGATGCATGTAGTTGTAATTCATACATTTCTCTGTGGTATACAATTTATCCATTCCCCTATTAATGAACTTTTTGTTCCTAGATTTTTGCTCTTATAAACATTGCTGCTATTGATCATTCCTGTATAAGTCTCTAGGAGTATACGCATAAGAGTTTCTCTAGGATACCTACTTAGGCATGGAACCACTGAGACAAATTATCTAGACATTTTCAACTTCATTAGACAATGCTAACTTGTTTTCCAAGGGGTTGAACTAATGTTGTTCTCCTACCAGTCACATGGACAGTTCTACTTGCTCTACACGCTTGCTAACATTTGATACTGTCAAACTTAATTTTTCGCTAATCCAATGGTCATAAAAATAATATCCCATTGTGGTTTCATTTTAAATTCCCCTGATGACTAATCAAGATTGAGCATCTTATCTCGTGTTCATTGGCCATTTGAGAGTCCTCTTTGTGAAGTGACTAATCAAGTCTTTTCACTATTTTTCTTTTACACAGGTTAATTTTTCTCACAGATTTGTAGGAATTCTTTACATATTTGCATATTAATCTTTTGTCAGTTATAGGTCTTGCAATTAGTTTCTGCGAATGGTCACTTTTCTTTTCACTCTTTTTATGGCATCTTCAGAAAACAGAGTTCTTAATATTAATGTGGTTGATTTTTAATCTTTGCAGAGTTGGAGGTTTATATTTAGTTTAAGAAATCCTTCCCCTATCTCAAGGTTATAAAGATATTCTTCAATACTATCTTCTAAAAGTACTATAGTATTGCCTTTCATAGTTAAGTTTTTAATCTACTATGCATTAATTTTTGTGTTTCTTGTAAAGTAGGGATCAGATTTAATTTTGTTGTTGTTGTTGCATGTGGTGGGCAGAATAATGCTCTACCAAAGATGTCCACATTCTAATCCTTGGAACCTGGGAAGATAGTGTTACATGGAAAGAAGGAATTAAGGTTGCAGATGGAATTAAATTTCCTAATCTGCTGAACTTAAAATGAAGAGAGCATCCTGAATTCTCCAGGTGGCCCATGGTAATCTCAAGGATCGTTTCAAGTGCAAGAGGGAGGCAGCAGAGGAGGTCAGAGTCAGAGAAAGATTCGAAGATGCTATGCTGCTGGCTTTGAAGAGGGAAGAGGCAGCCATGAGACAAAATATGTAGGCTGCTTCTAAAAGCTGACAAAGGCAAGGAAATGGATTCTCCCTCAGAGCCTCCAGAAGGAATGCAGCCCTGCTGAAACCTGACCTCCAGAATGCTAGATACTAAATTCGTGTTATGTTAAGCCATCACGTTTGTAGGAATTTGTATAGCAGCAAAGGAGACTAATACATTGTATAACTGTATAAACAACTATTGTCCTGGCACTATTTAACGACTAGTCCCTCCGCACACAGCTAGAAGCAGCAGTAATCTGAAGTGCTATAATCACAGATCGAGATGACTCTGAGTGGGGCTTTAGCCCACCTTAGGACTGCTCCATTTCTGGTTCACCTTCCCTCACACAGTGTGAACATCTAGGGATCTAATCAAAGGGTGAGTGCTTTACCTGGCCTACACGGTCCTCATCCTAGGGAGGCCAGGAACTCTAACTTTTGTCTCACCAGAACTGTTACTCTACCGAAAATTGTGCTCACCCTCTCTACCCACTCTGCTGACTGGCAGACAGCTGCCTACTCAGGAACCGGCAGGGGCTGGCCCCATGGCTGAGTGGTTAAGTTCACATGCTCTGCTTTGGCGGCCCAGGGTTTTGCCGGTTCAGATCCTTGGCGTGGACATAACACCGCTCATCAGGCCATACTGAGGCGGCGTCCCACCTAGCACAACCGGAGGCACTCACAACTAGAATATACAACTGTTCTGGGGGGCTTTGGGGAGAAGAAGAAAGAAAAAAAAAACAAGATTGGCCACAGATGTTAGCTCAGGTGCCAATCTTAAAAAAAAAAAAAGAACTGGCAGACGCCTCTGGGGAAAATAGCCTAAAAGCTGACCTTATTTCTCTCAGTTTCCATCTTCTCCTAGATCTTTGCCCTGTAACTTCCTTCATAGGTCTCTGATGTTCTCAAACCATTAGGGGCCGGCCTGGTGGCGCAGCAGTTAAGTGGGCACGTTCTGCTTTGGCGGCCCAGGGTGCGCCAGTTCAGATCCCAGGTGTGGACATGGCATCGCTTGGCAAGCCACGCTGTGGTAGGTGTCCCACATATAAAGTAGAGGAGGATGGGCACAGATGTTAGCTCAGGGCCAGTCTTCCTCAGCAAAAAGAGGAGGATTGGCAGCAGATGTTAGCTCAGTGCTAATCTTCCTCAGAAAAAAAACCCACAAATTTAAATACACCCACACATATGCAGGCACACACATCTCCAGTGTGTTAGCTTTTCTCAGGAGGAGGGTTGGTCCTAATTATCTAGTCCACAGTTATTGGAAGTGGGTTTCCATCATTTTCTTTGATTTTCGTACATGCTATCCTGACTGGAGTATGAAAGACTCCTGTAGGGACATGAGATCCTATACATCCAGAACCTAACAGGCTGCCTGTCAAACAAGAAACAACAGCTGGGTTAAAAAATATAGTATGTGCAAGTCTTGGCAACTTACTAGAATGTGTGGTTTGATGATGGGAGAATACAATCAAATATATTTTAATATTTCTAAAACTTGATAATGGTGATGCCATTCCCAGAAATGACAAAAGAAATCAAGAGAGGGAAGGAAGAGGAAGAGACTTGTTTGGAAGTCGACTTGGGTTTATGGATGTGGCTGAATCTGATGTATTTGTGAGGTACTTAAGTAAAGCTGTTCAGATGAAAATGAGAAATGTAAATCTGAACTTCTAAAGACAGGTGGGAGCCTGATACATGATTCAAGTCCTTTGTTGTGAGGGGAGCTGCTAAGAGAAAGAGGAAATATAGAGAGACAGGAGCTGAGCATAAAGCATTAGAGTATGCCTAGATACACTTAGGGGATGAGTAAGAAGAAAAACCCTTAAAGAAAACAGATGAGTGTTCAGAGTCTGAAAAAGAAACTTAGCAGAGTAGGCTTAATAGAAGATAACGGGCAAGTTTGGAGAAAAAACAATTATCAACATGGTCAACTGTGGCTGAAAGGTCAAGGAAGCCCTGGAACGAAAGAAGTCTTAAAATAAATACCAGCTATCTTCTCAGTAGTAAAGGAAGGCAGAAATGTGGAGGAGTGGAGAGATTTGAATTTTTAAGTGAGAAGAAAGGTTTAGAAAAGAATGTAGATGATTTTAAGTGGTCATTAAGAAAACAATAAACAAATTAATGCACAGATTTCAGGTCCTAAAAGGCAGGTAGTGAATATCTGAGTGGGCAAAAATTTGCATGAGTGGATATGAATTTGCACTATTCTGTGAGTTTTTTCAACAAGTTTAGCACCTTGGAGTGAACTCAAGAGGAGCTAGTTTTGAGGAAAATACAAGATATTCACTTTTAGACATTCCGAAGATTAATATATGGAAAAGAGAATGAAGATCAGGATATAGGTTTGGGATTAACCTACATAGAAATGACACTTGAAACCAATGGCATATGTAGATATTTGTATGTCATAATTTCTATCAGTAAAAAATAGATTATTTTCTCTTACTGGGAAGTTATATCCAATCTAAAAATAGCTTCTATCTCTGTTAGTAAGTGTGGATTAGTTTTTGAGAACCTGAAAATTGCCTTATTTTAATTTGAAGAATAATCCTATTACAACCATTGTAATTAACAAGAGGACATTCATGAAACTTGAAAGGACTGCAAATGTATGCTTGAGAACAGCAGTTGTTGAACCAATATTATAAAAAAATTCTCCTAACCCTCGTCTCTGTGTAAACAATGTATTATTAGAGGAAAACAGAAACAAAACAAAACACATGCAGGGCTACTATTCTACCAGCAGAGACTCAAGTGGCCACAATGCCTGTTTATGACCAATATCTGTTCTAATTAGTTAGTGGTTATGCTGTACTGGTTGTAAAACATTTTAAATATAACCTATTCATATGATAATATATTCACTGAATTACTATATGTAACATTTCAATACTTTCTAAAATTCTAAAGTACATTTTACATATATTACTTTATCATTACAACAACCTTTCAGGACAAAAAGGAACCATTAGAGCCACCACTTTAATAATGATTAACTTAAGATACAGTTGCTGCCTATTTCTTTGTTATTTACTGACATTATGCTCAAATTCAAACACCCAAACAGTGACCCCGAATAAATTCACTTGAAAACTAAAAGTCACTTCACTTACAATACGATATAGTTATTCTTATTAAAATAAAATCCTCGTACCATTTGGTGATGCCATAACAATCTTTAATAATATCCTGAAGTACAGCACGATAGAAGAGTGATTCGGTGGGCAGCTGAAAAAAATGTAGATACATAGAAGCATAAGAAACAAATAAAAAACAGAAATCAAATCAATACCAGAGAGTCAGGACCATAAGCGAATGTTAGAAACCTGACTTTATTGCTAAACATAGAGGACAATTTTATAATTTTTCCACTCTAAGTTAAAATGTACCCTAAGGCTAATTCTCACTGAGAAAATAATTCTGCAAGGAAGTGGGAAAAAACTATAAAAGTAGTAGTGAATGAGGAAGAAAAGGCATAAGCAAATAATGAGCTAATGTCTCAAATGGAGTGCTTATCAGTTAAAAATGTAGAAATAAAGTCTCATGACCAGCAAAGTGCGCCAATAAGAGAGCAGTCAGGTAGGACATGTGCAAAAGAGAAGAGAATGTGGGCTTGTCCTAATGGTGGGGGAACAGAGATAATATTACCTAGGATTCACAGCCAGAAAGAGAAGGTACGACCCTAAGTCAGGACGTACTAAAAATACGTCTGAGGTCTAAAAGATCACAGCATTGGCTACTGCAGACTTGAAAAGAAGGCCCTTAGGGGGCTGGCCTGGTGGCGCAGCAGTTAAGTTCGCACACTCCACTTTGGCAGCCTTGGCTTTGCCAGTTTGGATCCCAGATGTGGACCTACGTACCACTTGTCAAGCCATGCTGTGGCAGGTGGCCCACATATAAAATAGAGGAAGATGGGCATGGATGTTATCTCAGGGCCAGTCTTCCTGAGCAAAAAGAGGAGGATTGGCGGCAAATGTTAGCTCAGGGCTAATCTTCTTCTTCAAAAAAGAAGGGCTTTGGAAAAGACATAGGATCAGAGACTGAAATCTTGGTAGGGCTTCATTTCCTGGGGAAAAAGAGGTGGGAGGTGTCCACGAAGGTGAAAAGCTTTTGAAAGGAAAGAAGGAATGGTTGAAGAGAAGGGCCCTAATGAAGCATGGCAGTTTCAAAGAAGTAGAAGGTAAAAAAGTATTATACACAAAAGAAAGTATGTTTTGCTGTAGCAACGGAAGAGGTACTCTTAAACTAAGAAAGTACAAAAGTCACCAGACTCCATCCACATTCCCAAAGACCTGTTAATATTGATACTGCATAGGAAAATCCAACACAAAATAATGTCAGCAACAACAACCCTGCTACCATGCAAAGTTATTATTGAAAAAAAAAAGAAAAAGAAAAATGAGCAAAGATGAAGGGAGGTCAACAATACTGAATGCTTTTGAGAAGTCAAATAAGGTAAAAACTGAGCCAGCTGTGATGGCCTAGCACTTAAAGTTTGGCATGCTCTGCTTTGGTGGCCTGGGTTCGCTTTCCAGATGTGCAACCACACCACTCGTCTGTCAGTAGCCGTGCTGTGGTGGCTGCTCACATAGAAGAACTAGAAGGACTTAGAACTAGAGTATACAACTATGTACTGGGGCTTTTGGGAGGAAAAAAAAAGCAAAAAAAGAGAGGAAGATTGGCAACAGATGTTAGCTCAGAGTGAATCTTTTATAGGTGAAAAAAAAAGTGAACACTCCCATGCCTGTGGCACGTACTATCCCCATTAAAAAAAATAATAATAAGGTAAAAACTAAAAACTGTCCAATGACTGGGAAAATTTTAAAGATAAAGTTCAATGGAATGTGCATATCCACTAAGTTATCCTTTTGTCACTTCTATTCTCCTTCAAGGCCCCAAATTGTTATTTTCACCTGTTTTCAAGAATATGCTTGGATTCAGATGGAGTTTAGCACAAAATACAATTTTGCCTGTGTGCTCCAGCAGAAAACCTACTCTACTGTCCTCCTTGCATCTAACATCAAGTTCCTACACTGTGGATCCCAGGTGCTGAGACTACGAAAAAACAAAAGTTGGGAGTTGAGGGTCAACCATTATTTCTTGGGTCTTCACCTGGTGGCAATGCCCTTTTAAGTCACTCGAGAATGTCTGTCTGACTTGTAGGATCTTGACAGAGCACTTTGAAAGAACACAAAGTTATACCCTCTCTGGATGGTGGGAATAGTGGGAGGGTGATTCCAGTAGGAAAAGGTGTCAGGAGTACTAGAGTCCCCAACTCAACTCTGATATGTAAACAAAAAGCAATAGGATATATTGGAGTATATCAAGAGGCTGTTTGACTTAAAAGTAATTTGGTCTGACCTTGTTTTTCCAAAAGGGCCTGATGTGGCACATTGAGCAAGCATTGTACATCTGCTTTAAACCTTAATTATGTCCCAAAGGCAAGAATGATGCCCTTAAAGACAGGGATGTAGCTTTCCCCCATAGTGGAATTTCTTTAAGGATAAGCATCTCTTCCTGGAAACTAAGGAATAATTACTGACCTGCTGACAACCAACTTGCTGTGCCAGCTAAGCATCTTGTAACAGTAGTAAGAGATATTCCTGTCATATGTGACACATGCTCTTTATTCCGAGACAGTATATAATCATTCTGTACACCCTACTTCTTTGGTGCCCTTCCTTCCTTGGGGAAATAAGGTGCTGGACTATAGTCCTCAGACTTGGCTCATAATAAACTCACCCTAATTTTGATTTATAGATTCATTGTGGATTATTTGCATCAACAACTCCTAAAATAACTCAACTGAAAGCAGACATACTCACATACTTGAGTGCCCACACTTGTAACCTTCAAAGGCACACTTCTTACATAAAATCTCTTTCCAAATACAACTCCTTGACTTGAGACAAAAATCTCTTATTGCTAAACATTCCTTTTCCGGAGACTGCTCCAAAACATTTCACTCAGAATTTCCTATCTCTGGATATATTTTCCATTTGACATTTTTTCATCTTGAGCAGTTCTTTTCAGTATCAAAAATCTCTGCTTTATCATCTGTCCTCCTCTTTCCCCCAAATCCACTCAGTTCTCTAACAAAAATGCTGAAATCCCTTTTCTTATATTAACACCTACTTTTTTATTGTTCTATTCAAATTAACGGCATTTTGGAAAATATATTATTACATGAAGTGAATTATTAGTATCATAAATGGCTTACAAAGAGTTCTTAACTTTTTATTTGGTTAGTTATAGTAGATTGGACCTTTAATTTTATGTGACTTTTATACGAAACTCCTAAAAATAGTCAAGCTGGTATATGAACTGAGGAAGCCTGGCTCTGACGTCCCAGTACCAAGCTATGACATTATTTTGCCTTTCAGACACTTGGGCAAGGATGAGGTGTCATTAATTTTTTTTATTATATAATTTCACTTAGGAAAAAAAACTCCTAAAAAGAAAGTTCTTCTTCTCATGCTTTGAGAAAAATTATATAAAATGATATCAAGATTATTTAGAAATAAATGTATATTTATGTTATTAACCAATTGTAGAAAGAGCACAAAAAAGATAAAGAAACACATTTTAAGCAAGAGAACATACAGAAACGGAATGCATAGAGAAATACAAACAGGATAGAATAAATCATCATTCCCAAGTTACCCTAAGTAAATAAGAGCTTTACAGCTGTTTCCTAAGAGAAAGGGAAGAGAGTTATGAAGTGCCTTCAGATGTGCATTCCTGGGATAACTAGGACTATCCATCCTGGTAAATACAGATGGGGGTAAGTGGGAAGGGAGTCAACATCTCCCGAGCAGCCTGTGCCTGACTATCCCAGAAATAAACTGGATGTGGCTCAGAGTTTACTTTCTTTCCTTCACAAGTGATAAATCAACTTAACACTAATGCATTTTACAATGGGAGGGAGCAGAAACAGTACACCCTTAGAGTTCATATATCAGACATGCATCGTACAGGTCTAGTGGAGAGGGCACTATGCTAGAAGTCAGGACTCTACAATTAATTAAGGGAGCTAGACAGCAGTACTAAACGTCAGCTGTGTATCACGTTCTCATATAAGTTTGGGATAATACCCAACTCATAAGATTGACTGTAAACATGAGCAAGCACTTGGGAATGGAAAAACACCATACAAATTCGCTGGGGCATTATTATCATGAAGGCTCTTTCTTCTTCCAGACCCCTAGGGAGCCACTAAGTGGATATGGAGTACAGTAGTTAAGAACTTGGGCTTCGGAGTCAGAGATTCAAATCTCAGTGTCCATTACTTAGTGTCTTCATGTATATAGTGGGACAATAAGAGTACTTGTCTCATAAGACCATGTATGTAGTGCTTTAATTGATGAAGAAAACTCTGAATAGTACTTTGGTAAGCCCTGTGTTAAACTTCACTATTATTTTCATGATCGTAATTATTAACTACCTATAACAACAACAATAGTTGACATTTACTGAACACTTACTAAGTGCTAGACATTATTTTACACATTTTACATTTTTCCTCCATTTAATCCTCACAACAAGTTTACAAGGAAGGCATTACTGTTACTCTCATTATTATTGTTATTATTCCTATTCTACAGATAAAGAAATTAAGCTATGAAGAAATTCTGATGTATCCAAGGTCACTAAGCCAGTAACTGATGAAGACAGGATGCAAATTAGCAGTTTGAGACTAAAACCCACACACTTAAACAGTATGCTCTAAAGCCTTTAAAAATGCCTGATAAAAAATTTTTTATCAGTTTTTAAATAGGTACAATTAATACATTAAAAAAAAAAGTTCTTAGCATTGTGCCTGGCCCAGAGTAAAGCACTCAGTATAAATGATATGTATTGCTATTATCATTTTTAAAAATTCAAAGTGACACATTAATGTTCCTTGAAAAGAAGCAAAAGAGAAATTTCTAAAATTTAGGTTCAATAAGAAAAATCTTGTGAAAACTTTAAACTCCTAAAAATAAACTTGAAAAATTCCTAATATGTTTCATGAATCATAAAGTGGAGGATAAAGCAATTATCGGGATATTTGGTGGATACATTTAACTTCTGTTTACATGTGCGAACTCATTTGGCTGTTGCAACTAATGACTAATGAAGTCAATAAAGAAAAAAGTTCAAAAACAGCCAACTGAAATATGTGTTTTGGACTATAGTTCAAAAATAAAATGAATGCAATACCTTGTTTATCTTTGCTTGAAGTAAGCCCCATAAAAGCCTAACAACAACAGCATTCTTTAGAAATATTTATAGACTGTTTAGTATAATATGAAGAAGTGAGACATTAGTACAAGAATATAATGTGGAAGTTTTCCTAAAAGTTCAATTCCCTTTTTCTGAAAGTTCTCTTCTCTTTTAAAGTAAACTTAAAGAAAAAAATATAAATTTGAACATGAAGAGGTGACAAGAAGAGGTGCTATTTATTAAAATCCATCAAGTTTTAAGTTCATCAGCAGGTCAAGCATGAAGAGTACTTTAAGAAAAGCTATCCTGTTCGTCAGCTGGATTAGAGTTAACATTCTTACTTACCCCTCGGCCAACTGCAACCCGCTCCAACGCCTGTAAGGAGAAAAAAATAAGACAAAGAAACGCTGATACACTTAGTCTTATCTTTTAAGGCTTATAAACACACTCATATAAGGGTTTGTAAAACTGACATTAAAAAGATTAATTAACAACATGAAAGTTTACACACTTAAAAGTCTTAATATCATTAAGGAATGTTGACTGATATATTTGTATAATTTAAGGCTGATATAAAATGGATGTGTGTCATGTATACAAACACATACACACCCCAATTGTACACACTCCTTGAATTTTAGAAGGGATTAGAAAAGAGAAAAGAAATGAAGTGACATATTCTTGGCTTACTTTTACTGTAGCTAAAACAATCAAATAAATCCAAAGCTACTATTATGCATATATATGGACACATTTATATACATTTTAACTTTTTTCTTCTAATTTTTATAAACATATAATTTCACCTTTTATTAAACAAGATTATATTGAACAATTATAGTTGAAAACTTAGTTTTGAAAAGTATGTATGTTTTTGGTCTGCAAATTCAAATTCATATATGATCCAAGTACCTGGTAGAAGAGAAAGTAATATATTTTTACAATCCTATATATAGCTTGTTTTACCTTTTTTTTGGTGAGGAAGATTAGCCCTGAGCTAACATCTGTTGCCAATCTTTCTCTATTTTGTATGTGGGATCCCACCACAGACTGGCTTGATGAGCCACATGTAGGTCTGTGCCCAGGATCCGAACCTGCAAACCCTGGGCTGCTGAAGTGGACTGCATGAACCTAACCACTATGCCACCAGGCCGGCCCTTGTTTCACATTTATATTTATTTAAGATCCAAAACACTTTTATAAAATATTTCCTAATATTTCTAATAAATTTCATAATCCAACATATATGAAAGATATGTATAAAAGATTTGTTATAATTTAAATATGGAACAGAGCCTTCTGAAACTTTCAATTTTTGGAGTGTGTAAAAAAACCTTCATTTTTTTACATTTCCACACATATAGTTTTATAACTGAATTAGATTAAAATATTTGAACTGAAATTTCATTTTTAAAATTTTAATTGGAAAATATCTCAAACATTAAGTAGTAAAATATAATAGATCTGTATATACGCCTTACTCAAATTTAAAATACTCATATTTGCTTCAGATTTCTGTCTTCATAAATAATACTTTTTAGATATAGCTGAATCATATACTTTTAAAACTGAAAGATAATTTACAGATTATCCTGCGTAAGTGCAATTTTTGCAGATGCACGAGGTTATTGACAGGGTAATTTGCCTCAAGTTGCATAGCTGGTTAGTAGGTGAGCAGGAACTAAAACTTGTTCTTCGAACTCTGATTTATTTCTCATGCCCTCACACCATGAAGATTTTGTGGGAAAACGAGTTGATTGCACGAAAATTTGTTTCACAGAATAGTTTGGAGAAAAAAATGTAATTTTTTCATTGACTTGAAGGATACTTTCACTGAACATCTAGAGACAGAGTGTTATGAATACAGGTGGTAGTTATTATATAATTTTAATATTAAGTTAAATACCAACAGGCCCAGAATAAGTTTATCATTGAAGAAAACACTGAGTATTCATTTACATGCTGGTTGTGCTCATTTCAGGTTAGATTTTTGTGTTACTGGCTTTTGCTCAAAGGCTGAACTGAACAAAGAAACAAAAGAGTTTTCAATAATAAATTATTTGCTGTCAATAAAAATATCATGTAACACAGGACTACTTTTGGCATGTGCTGCTGATCAGTTTATTTTAGAAATACAAATGATAAATTTTGATTACATAATAAGAGATAATTAGGTAGGTGATAGGTTTCTTGGAAACATTAATATTTTTCTTGGCCAAAAAATAATGAAGAAAATATACCAAGTGTTCATTTCATACTAATCTAAAATATTTTACAGTTTTATCAGCCTTGAAGTATGCTGACAAGATTGCACTATTCTAATTAAATTTTATTTCTGGTTAGTACCCTTAACAATTTATCTGAAAGTGTCAGCAGAAAGATCTCTTTTTTTAACTCCTTAAGCTTTGAACATTTGTGGAAAAGGTCAGTTATAGAACAAAAGGCAATAAAACAAGATGCACCAAAAGAAATGTTCCTTAGATTTTCCACGATTACTCTAGCATCAAAAAAAGAAGTCAAGGTGAGCAAGGACTGGGACGAAGCTAAGGAGAGGGGCATTTCATGGGAAGCTGACTTGGTCAGGCAAAGTTCTTAAGTCCAGCATGGTCTATAAATTCTACATTTTGGAATTTATTTTTCAAAAGCTCTTCTTTTTGGTTCTTTGAATGTTTATTTTTATAGCAAACATTCTTGTTTTGTGGATGCAGTATATTTTTTTTTACCTCTTCAAGGGCTATTAATAGTTATTTTATGTTATTTTATTTTGGGTAGTATCCATTTCCTCCAGGTTGCTGTCTTTCTATTTGTTGATCTGATCTCTCTTCTTTCCTATTAGGCTTTCTTAGACATCTAGTGATTCTTGGCTGTCTGTTGATAATTAAAATGGGGGTATCATACACCTGATTAGAAGCATTGTCTTGATGAGTGAGGACTGTTAGTTCGGGACCTCGCTGTAAAGGTGAGGTGTCCTGTTTCACTGTGAAATCCCCGATGCCAAGATCTTTAGGTTTTCTCTTAGGCTAGTCAGATTCTCTACAAAAGACTAGTTCAATTTCTTGCCTGGAGGGTATAAGCTTGGCTACCAGCATTCTGGGAACCAAGTCATTCCAAGAATGACCTGCCAGTATAACAAGACCTTGAACAAGTATCATTTATAGACATAATGAAAGAACAAGACAAATTCCCAGAAAAGTATCTTAAGAGGACTTACAAAAGGAAATTATTATTTGAGCATAAATAGATTTCTAAGATAATTCCAGGATATATGATCTAGAACACTGGTACCCTATTTTTTATATTGCTGTTACTGGTGGATAAATAACAGCCTAATAGTAACTACTTTATCCTGGGATTGGATATTAAACACATTACTTAATCAACTATATTTTAAATTTCTAATGATAAAAAACCACTTACACTGTTTAACTTGCATCTGTTCCTTTGTAAACACAGCAACACAAACAGAGAAGACCAGGGGATAAGTGTTCTAGGTCTAAGGACACAAGCCAATCAGGAACAAGCAAGGTTGTATTTGACTAGATAGCTACTTGATACCCCAAGTGGCTTAATAATAATTCTTCCCATTCTATTAAAAACTAGAAAAGCAAATGATCTGCTACGAACACACACAAACACACCACAGAGCTGTCGATAAAGCGCTGAACTAACTCTGTGCTTGAGACGTGGTAGTTGGTGTATTTTATATGATAGTTAAAGTAATTATACGTAAAAGATAAAGTATCATAATGTAGAATTCAGTATAACTATAAATTGTTACCACACTGCATGTAGAGTGGATAATGTTGGAAGGGCAAGTCATTTTTTTCCCATAATTTGCAATGAACAAAAGCATTAATGATGATGCTCTGCAAAATTTGGCATTTAATGCATAGTATTAGCCAAAAACAATAAATTCTGCAACATCTGGATAAAGCTCTTAGTCTAGAAAAAAATATAACCATACCAAACAGGCTGACATTCTGGCATTACGACCACAGCACCATCTTTCTTCCTTTAAATAGCAGGACATTGGAAATCCCCACTTTTGTTGAGTACATTCTGCAGATGGGGGAAAAATATGGATTATTTAAATAAAATTCTTCCTCTTTCAGTTTAAGTAAATAATCTATTGAGAAAGCAAATCAGTCATTGAGAGAGTCAAACAGTAGTTAAACATGGAAGTGGTAATGTTTAACTGTTCATTCCAGTCTGTTAATTGAAAGCATATTAATGCTATGAAAATGGTATTTTCTCAACAACAGCTGTTTTGTGTTTAAGCTCCAGGTCTGATACCAACCAATTTGCCAATTATTTCTCTAAGATTTAGCAAAAGCAATTTAAAATGAAAAAACTTTTCATGTTCAATGTAACTATAGCAGATAAGTAATGAGATACTGGACATTTATTGAGGACTTGACTTTCTAAAAAAATAATTTATTAAATAAGACATTTGGCAATTTTTTAGAGAACAATATTAATTGATTCCTGAAAATGTTGAAGCAACAATTTTTTTCCAGCCACAATGTTCAATTTCCAGAGAAAGAACAGCTGTATTGGCTCTTTTTTCTTCATTGTTTTAAGAGCTGTAATATTTTCAACTATGATTCAATTTGGCTCAACTGGTATGGTTCAAGTAATAACAAAAAAAATCAGCATTCATTGCTTAATCACACATATCTGCTTCCCAAATCACTCGCAGAGTTACATATGCAACTTGCTGATGTTTAAACGCCTTATCTAGAACTATTAATTACACAGAGGTTTTGAAAAGAAAAACAAATCAATTTTTATTTTAAATTAAAGCCTGGAAAATAAGAGCTTAAATTTTACGAAAACTGTGACAATGAAAAGAAAATTGAGATAAACATAAATTTTCTATTAGGTTAAAAACTACAACAGAACTAAAAACTTGAAAACAACAAAACTCCTTAAAAGAAAATACTGTTGAGGTAGATTCCACTAAATAAACTTCTTTGCTATGAAGGATCAGATGATTTTTGATTAAAATAGAGAAAGTTTAAGTTTCATGCAGATCATACTGTAAAAGTGGTTTCTTTCAGGTATTAAATTAAGATTTATAATAGACCCTACTGATAATCAGATGGAAGATACAGACCTTCCCCCAGGAATATAAATAATAATAATGCTAGTATTTATATAGCACTTAATATTGTTAAGCACTATTGTAAGTGCTTTAAATGTATTAACTAGCTTTAGATGCTAAGTGCTTTAAATGTATTAACTAGTCCCCAGAGCAATTCTATGAAGTAGGTAAACTATTACCCTCAATTCTATCAAGTAGGTATACTATTATTCTCAATCCTATGAAGTAGGCATACTATTATTATTCTTATTACACTATCATTCTCATGTTTCAGATAGGGAAACTGAGCACAAGGAAGTGACATAAATTGCCTAAGTTGCAAATCGAGTACATGGCAGAGCTGGAATTTAAACCCAGGCAGTCTGCCTCCAGAGACCATGCTCTTAACTGCCAAGTTCTATAAACAATTTCACTTCCAAGTGCACAGGACTCATAGAGCCCTTGAAGCCTATCCAGGTCCTAGGGACCCTGGACTGCTCCTTCTGTCTATTTCCAAGATGACTTGAAACAGTGGTTTGAGTTTTCCTGAAGGCTTTACAATGTAACTGAGACACGATTATTGCTAAATGAAAGGTTTACAGTAAGTAGGGTTTTTTTTGTTACAACTAAAAAGAGAAATACCTAGATCTTACTGCACAGGGTAAAGGGCTAGAGAGATGGGGTTGTGCTACTTCAATCAGAGGGTTTAGCAAAAGTGCTAACCAATAAAACAGCTAGTTTTTCCCTCGCCCCCATCAATTCTCTCCTTGTTCCCTGTAGTAACAGAGGATTCAACTTTCAGCTGGGTATTCAGCGGTTCAGATTAAAGACTGCAATTCTCAGACTCCCACGCAGCCACTAGCACAGCTCCAAGACTAAGTTTTGGCTAACTGGATGTGGGCAGAAATGATGTGTGCAAATTCTAGGTCACATGCTTAAAGGGAGGGGGTATGCTTTTTCCCCTACACTTTCCAACCCCCTTCATCCCTCCTCTGTCTGGAATGTGGCCACGATGGTAAACCAACTAGGACCATATAAACAAGAGAAGCAGAGGATAGAGCAACAAAATAGAAGGATTCTGGGTTCTTGGAAGACTTTTTGGTAGAGAACTCCCATATCAGCTCTAATGCTCTACTTCTGGATTGAAACAGAAATATCCCTCTGTCTTGTTGAAGTCACTCTTACTTTGGGTCTGAACGTATTTCGCATCTAAGGCTTTATCTTAATTTAATGCTTCTCAAACTTTTTACAGCTCAGCACTCTCGGAGTATGGCAAAATTTGTACATCACACTGGAATAAACAGATGATGGTGATTGTGTTGAGGCAAAACCCAGGAGATGAAGGAAGTAGTATTTCAGGAACACCCATAAAGTATCCTTGGCACACTGGTTGAACAGTTCTGTCCTAATTAACATAAAGTCTTCTTTGAGGATGCGATATTTGAGCAGAAACTTAAATGAGAAGCATCACTGAGAATATTAGGGGAAGACAAGGAAAAACAAACACACTAAGCTTCTACCAAGATATAGTTAATCTTCAAAAACACAATATGAGAATATTTTACAGCTTAAAATGATAATTAACTAGCAATTTCCCAACTTCTAATATCCCAACCAAATACCTGGAAAACAAACTTATAACACTGGAAAGGAGGAGATGAAAGTCAACTTATTGCAGAATAAGAAACAATGGATTTGTAATGAAAAGTACAATTAGTATACCATCACTGCTCTCTGCAATTCACCTTATGCTATCAGGAAAAAAGCATGTTGGGGCCAGTCCCATGGCCAAGTGGTTAAGTTCACGTGCTCTGCTTCGGCAGCCCAGGGTTTTGCTGGTTCAGATCCTGGGCGCGGACATGGCACTGCTCATCAGGCCATGCTGAGCCGGCATCCCACATAGCACAACAAGAGGCACTCACAACTAGAATATACAACTATGCACTGGGAAGCTTTGGGGAGAAGAAGAAGAAGAAAAAAAAGATTGGCAACAGATGTTAGCTCAGGTGGCAACCTTAAAAAAAAACAACAACAAAAAGCATGTCTCTTTGCCTGAAAACAGGTAGAAAGATCCTCTCCCAGTAATAATCTAAAGAAAACTTTGACTGAAAAATTACTTTGACTGAAAATTACTACTTAACATTAGATTGAAAGGGGAACAGTATTTCTGGAAAATATATGACATTAGAAGGGGTATATTATTTCCAGGAAAAAGAAATCTAATACAGTCAAGTGTCACTTGACGACGGATATACGTACGTTATGAGAAACGCATTGTTAAGTGATCTTGTCATTGCGTGAACCTCATAGAGTGAGCTTACACAAACCTAGGAGGTACACCTACTACAAACTTAGGCTGTATGGTACTAATCTTATGGAACTACAGTTGTATACGAGGTCCGTCACTGACTGAAACGTCATTATATGGCACATAACTGTAGAAGAAACCCACACCCAAGTTACTCCCAAATTCTTGACCCACAGAAACCATGAGAGATAATACATAGTTATTGTGGCTCTAAGCCATTCAGTTTTGTGGTGATTTCTCAAAAAGTATTAGATGATAAATACAGTCTAGAAGTAGCAAGGAGGAGGCTAAGTAACCCATATAAGGGAAGTGAGACAGAGAAATCCACTGCTTGAGGCATACAGAAAGTGTGCTTCCTTAGGAAGGAGCGAGGTTTTGATTAGATAAGAAAATAAAGGAACTTTGAGATAACAGGTTGTGCACATAGGCAATTTCAGTAATGACTGACTGTGAATTCCCAAGGGTTGTGGAATTGAGGAGGGGTGGAAGACCAGTCAGAACAAAGGACATAGAGACAGACATTTGATTAGAGTCCCAGAAATCAGGAATGAATTGTGAGGCCTGGGGCTCTGGTGAGGTCCGACAAGAACAGGGATCAAAGGCATGATGGCATTAGTCCTGGCAGTCTCTAGGGAGATGGTGGTGAAGCTGTGAGTGTGGTGGAAGAAGGAAAGGAGAGGGAGTTTTTCAGGGCAACACAGAGTTCTGGGCTCCCCAGTTGATTTCTGGTGATAAAGGGAAGATGCAGGCAGGGATACATAGGACTCCTGGGATCCCTCTTGATTTCAGATTATACAGCATGGAAGCCAGAGGGGAGCAATCAGACACTGAGCACATGGGGCTGTCCCTGGAGAAATGGAGGCTAGTGGGAGATGGGCAAGTAAGTTCCCTAACTTGTGTGATAAGAACGATGAGGATGGAGGAGGGTTACTGTCTTCCTTAGGGCTCACAAAGCTACTCTTTGCCACCACAACGAAGACCCAGAGAAGGGTATGTACTCTTAATCCGTGTGTAAGAAAGTTCTCTCTTCAACCCTCATAACAGCGTGAGGGATAGCAGAAGGGCAGTCTTACTGATGCACGTGGCTCCCCGCATCCCTACCCAAAACAACTAGCAACTTTAAGATCCTAGGGCAGTTTACGGAGATTCTACTAGTTTGTTCTTTCATGTGTCAATAACATTATTATCCACTTAATTACACAAGTTCGAACTTTACAACCATCTTATACTATTCTCCCCTTTAATCCCCAAGTTCTTACACACACATCCTCTGTTTGTCCTCTCCTCTTATGACACTCGTCATTGGATTTAGGGTCCACCCAAATCCAGTATGACCTCATCTTAACTAATTACATTTGCAAAGACCCTATTTCCAATTAAGGTCACATTCTGAGGTTCTGAGTGAACATGACTTTTTGGCAGACACTATTCAACCCACCACAATTTGTAAATTATATCTACAATTTAGTTCTGTATCACCAATAGCATAACCAACATCTCCAGATGGATATTTCACTGGCACCTTAAAAACCACAATGTAAAAACCAAAACTATGAAAGTTAGAGGCGAAAATTATAAAGCAAATGTCAGTCAATACAGGAAAAGCTAAATAGAATAGAGTACATGCATTCCAAGAAACACTTTGTAGAGTGTAAAACAAATTTAGTA